CTTATTTAAGAAACTAGAAAACTCCTTTTTGTAGGAAAGTATTTCCCAATTAGGAAATCACATCTCAGAACAAACAGGATTACCCTCTCTCATTCTGTTTTACTTGAAACGTGAAATAGTAGGGACAATGGATTGTTTCAAACCCATAAGTACTTGTACTGGTTTATCTAGATGGGTTTGCGATAAAATTACAGAGAATCATTTAAGCATGTTCACCGGTGTCTACCGATAGCAGCGAAATAAGCGTGTCATCACGTCTTATGAAACGTGACATTTTAAATGTAAAATGAATCAGCTAGTAGTTGATGTCATGCTTGAGGATCGCTGCATCTGAACATAAGTGGTAACATTTGTATGACTAGCGTAAATTGTCAGTGTTGCACTCAATGGCTATCTACCCGTTTCTAGGGGTACTGAATATTGGTATCCATAAAAATCGAGACAATTCAAAACTCAACAGAATACCGTGAAATCAAAAGAAAAGTTGTTTGAACACCTTTTTATCACTAAATTGGGAACTGCTGACAGTTAGAGGGTGTTAAGTGGCTATCTTATACCAACTCAAACTCAACAGTGTGCACTAATAACCCTACCTAGGACTGAGGTGAACACTTTGAAACATCTTCCAGAATATGTCATCGTTCACCTATTAAGACGGAATCCAATCGTCTACATCTTTCAATCCTCTTCAGCTTCAGATGTGGTGTAATCATCATACAGTTTTGTTAGCGATAATATACTCTCACTGGTGACATATTTGAACCCATAGTTCACAACTTCCTATAAGAAATTTGAAAAATTTATTTTGTTCTCTTAGGTATTCTGTAGGTAATTCTATTGATATGAAAACAGTTTGTATTCATTGGGTGAGATAGAAACTGCAACTGATCATCTCAATTCATATTCCCAAATAACGTAGCCTACTCAGAAGACAGCTTCTTGTAGGTCTTAACCTCAAATGTTTGAGTTATGAGCCTTAAGTAACGCTATTAAATGACTAGAATATCTGTTTCAATAAAATGCTGGTACTGTTGGTTGGATGTATGACAGTTAGAATGTGATTCTCACGGATGACCAGCACAACCATGATGATGCTGTCTTCTCTTTAAGTAGGGGAGGTAGAAGACGGCCTTCAAAATAACACATTCCTCCCTAGCCAACTGTATCCTATTGCTAGCACAATCACATCTCAACCCAGTGATCTTAAGAAGGGCAGTGTGTGACTGGCCTCAAAAAAAGTACTCTGTGGTCAAGCACTACTAACCTCTTTCTCTTTCAAGTATCTCGCAGTTACAGCTTCTACTTTGTAGGCATGCGGGAAATACCGGTAACCCACACGATTTGAGCAGTATGACAAAATCCGATTGACTACAATCTTTGTTAACTTTATCTTCACTTCCTGAAACAAATATTAACCGTCTATCAACTTGGCCAACTTATCACCACTTAGCCATTACTAACGATCCGTGCCAGCAGAACAATCTTCCTTTTCTCTTGAAACCACACTGCCAGTTTCACATTTAAGCTTTCATCGTCCGATTGCTATGCTAAGTCGGACAAAGGGTGTCGCTTGCCAAAACCCTCGAATCATGATTTATCGATACATTGCATGTCTCTGAGAGACAGATACATGTGCAGGTATTCACTTCACCCCAGGCAAAAAAGAAGAATCTGTAAAACCACTTTAAAAGTGTTTGAAAGTTCAGTAGCTAGATAGTGTGGAATGTCTGGTCCAAGTTTCACATAAATCTGTGGAGCAAACAGTGCATTTTGTGCCTAAATATCACAAACGAGTCATATACGCTCGTTACAACTGAACTGATACGTGAAAATAAAAAAAAGCGACAACTCAATCCTTCTTCTTAGTCATTCACTACGTGATAGAGTTCCCATGATACAAAGAAAGAATCTCACCATAACCTCCAAAACAAACCTCAACAACAAACTTAGCATAAAATCATGCAAGAAATTCTACCACACGACCAGAATTCGGAAAGCAATACACACCAAAATAAGAACTTAAACAAAACCCTATACAAACACGAAAAACACACCATCACGGGAAAAAACAATTCACAAAAATATCAAAAAGAAAGTAAACATAAACACAAAAGTATTGTAAAGCATTCGAGTTATTGGAACGTTGAGAATATCTTCGGTAGGAACAGGCTGAATCACCTTGGCCACTGAGATCAATTGAGCAACCTGATCAGTTTTGCCTAGATTAATTCAGCACAAAACATGCACAGAAGAGATGATGAAAAGGAAAGAAATAGTTGAGTATCAACTTGCTAAATTGTTTGTTTCAGTGCGCAGTATAACAATGAGCATAGTGTAAGTCATCAACCCAGTAGTACATGTTCATCTTCTATGCTGAGTGGTAGTGCGCTGGCTGACAGACTGACGAAATCAGTGTAGAACGTCACACAGAATTGCATCGGTCCAATTCACCACAGTTCACAGCAGCATGCAACGAACAAGTGGGTAGGAAAAGAGTCATGTCAAAGTAGACAAAGTGAATGAGAGGAGAGACAATTTGAAGGTGAAGTCTAGTGGAGAGTATTAGAGATGACAAGACGTGAGATAGTGAATACATCTGCACCGTTGTGATTGACTTGGAGTCATGTCATCAAGAGGATCGAAGCATTGACTCCTTTTACCTCGACGACCCCAGTCAGACAGTCCACATCTAGCTGTACGGTTCAGATCAGCAGTCGGAGGCTTCATCGACTGGTGTCACGTCATGGTCTGACCACCAACACAAGCCTTCTTCAGCTAACATTGCACGCTGAGGTAGGCGGTGGCCCGTTATCCACAACACACACTCAAGCCACCTCAGTCGGTGAGCTTCACAACTTGATCCACTGACTCGCCTTCAATGCTGAGTACCGTTCACCTGACCTGACCACTGCTTACAGGGTGATTCGGTCAAAAGCCAGCAATGCTTCGAAGACACCTGTGGCCAAAATCCTATGACGTCTTCATATCTATCACTTCGAGGGGTCATGTCTCACAAGCGTATAATAGGACAGAGCGGAACACAGACCACTACACTCCTCCTTCAATAGACGATCGACTAGCTCACTGGCGCCAGAGAGGATGTGACTTGGTGAATGCTGAACGCGCATTTCTGACACGACCTGAGATTTCCTCAACTGCAGACACATTCTCGCTGATACAACATAACAAGTGAAGTGGTCAATGCATTCACCCACTTCATTCTCTAGCCTGATATCCTTTGTCAAGTGTTGATTGTGCTCACCTGCAAAAGGCTCAGCGTTGATGACAGAAAGTCACAGGATAATCCAGTTTCCACAGTTCACCTTCTCGTCGAATGGAAAGGCAGAACTATGGTATCTAGAGAAGTCACTATTCAGTCTGCCAGGACTTCTGTCAGGTAACCGGAGGTGTGCACTGACCATAGAAATAAGGCGTGCTTAGTTGACATGGTCTTTGACAGCACACAGCAAATCTACAACTCTAAGCATACATTATACATATTTACCAAAGTACTGAAAAGCATTCGAGTTGTTGGAACGTTGAGAATATCTTAGGTAGGAACAGGCTGAATCACCTTGGCCACTGAGATCAATTGAGCAACCTGATCAGTTTTGCCTAGATTAATTCAGCACAAAACATGCACAGAAGAGAGGATGAAAAGGAAAGAAATAGTTGAGTATCAACTTGCTAAATTGTTTGTTTCAGTCCGCAGTATAACAATGAGCATAGTGTAAGTCATCAACCCAGTAGTACATGTTCATCTTCTATGCTGAGTGGTAGTGCGCTGGCTGACAGACTGACGAAATCAGTGTAGAACGTCACACAGAATTGCATCGGTCCAATTCGCCACAGTTCACAGCAGCATGCAACGAACAAGTGGGTAGGAAAAGAGTCATGTCAAAGTAGACAAAGGTGAATGAGAGGAGAGACAATTTGAAGGTGAAGTCTAGTGGAGAGTATTAGAGATGACAAGACGTGAGATAGTGAATACATCTGCACCGTTGTGATTGACTTGGAGTCATGTCATCAAGAGGATCGAAGCATTGACTCCTTTTACCTCGACGACCCCAGTCAGACAGTCCACATCTAGCTGTACGGTTCAGATCAGCAGTCGGAGGCTTCATCGACTGGTGTCACGTCATGGTCTGACCACCAACACAAGCCTTCTTCAGCTAACATTGCACGCTGAGGTAGGCGGTGGCCCGTTATCCACAACACACACTCAAGCCACCTCAGTCGGTGAGCTTCACAACTTGATCCACTGACTCGCCTTCAATGCTGAGTACCGTTCACCTGACCTGACCACTGCTTACAGGGTGATTCGGTCAAAAGCCAGCAATGCTTCGAAGACACCTGTGGCCAAAATCCTATGACGTCTTCATATCTATCACTTCGAGGGGTCATGTCTCACAAGCGTATAATAGGACAGAGCGGAACACAGACCACTACACTCCTCCTTCAATAGACGATCGACTAGCTCACTGGCGCCAGAGAGGATGTGACTTGGTGAATGCTGAACGCGCATTTCTGACACGACCTGAGATTTCCTCAACTGCAGACACATTCTCGCTGATACAACATAACAAGTGAAGTGGTCAATGCATTCACCCACTTCATTCTCTAGCCTGATATCCTTTGTCAAGTGTTGATTGTGCTCACCTGCAAAAGGCTCAGCGTTGATGACAGAAAGTCACAGGATAATCCAGTTTCCACAGTTCACCTTCTCGTCGAATGGAAAGGCAGAACTATGGTATCTAGAGAAGTCACTATTCAGTCTGCCAGGACTTCTGTCAGGTAACCGGAGGTGTGCACTGACCATAGAAATAAGGCGTGCTTAGTTGACATGGTCTTTGACAGCACACAGCAAATCTACAACTCTAAGCATACATTATACATATTTACCAAAGTACTGAAAAGCATTCGAGTTGTTGGAACGTTGAGAATATCTTAGGTAGGAACAGGCTGAATCACCTTGGCCACTGAGATCAATTGAGCAACCTGATCAGTTTTGCCTAGATTAATTCAGCACAAAACATGCACAGAAGAGAGGATGAAAAGGAAAGAAATAGTTGAGTATCAACTTGCTAAATTGTTTGTTTCAGTCCGCAGTATAACAATGAGCATAGTGTAAGTCATCAACCCAGTAGTACATGTTCATCTTCTATGCTGAGTGGTAGTGCGCTGGCTGACAGACTGACGAAATCAGTGTAGAACGTCACACAGAATTGCATCGGTCCAATTCGCCACAGTTCACAGCAGCATGCAACGAACAAGTGGGTAGGAAAAGAGTCATGTCAAAGTAGACAAAGGTGAATGAGAGGAGAGACAATTTGAAGGTGAAGTCTAGTGGAGAGTATTAGAGATGACAAGACGTGAGATAGTGAATACATCTGCACCGTTGTGATTGACTTGGAGTCATGTCATCAAGAGGATCGAAGCATTGACTCCTTTTACCTCGACGACCCCAGTCAGACAGTCCACATCTAGCTGTACGGTTCAGATCAGCAGTCGGAGGCTTCATCGACTGGTGTCACGTCATGGTCTGACCACCAACACAAGCCTTCTTCAGCTAACATTGCACGCTGAGGTAGGCGGTGGCCCGTTATCCACAACACACACTCAAGCCACCTCAGTCGGTGAGCTTCACAACTTGATCCACTGACTCGCCTTCAATGCTGAGTACCGTTCACCTGACCTGACCACTGCTTACAGGGTGATTCGGTCAAAAGCCAGCAATGCTTCGAAGACACCTGTGGCCAAAATCCTATGACGTCTTCATATCTATCACTTCGAGGGGTCATGTCTCACAAGCGTATAATAGGACAGAGCGGAACACAGACCACTACACTCCTCCTTCAATAGACGATCGACTAGCTCACTGGCGCCAGAGAGGATGTGACTTGGTGAATGCTGAACGCGCATTTCTGACACGACCTGAGATTTCCTCAACTGCAGACACATTCTCGCTGATACAACATAACAAGTGAAGTGGTCAATGCATTCACCCACTTCATTCTCTAGCCTGATATCCTTTGTCAAGTGTTGATTGTGCTCACCTACAAAAGGCTCAGCGTTGATGACAGAAAGTCACAGGATAATCCAGTTTCCACAGTTCACCTTCTCGTCGAATGGAAAGGCAGAACTATGGTATCTAGAGAAGTCACTATTCAGTCTGCCAGGACTTCTGTCAGGTAACCGGAGGTGTGCACTGACCATAGAAATAAGGCGTGCTTAGTTGACATGGTCTTTGACAGCACACAGCAAATCTACAACTCTAAGCATACATTATACATATTTACCAAAGTACTGAAAAGCATTCGAGTTGTTGGAACGTTGAGAATATCTTCGGTAGGAACAGGCTGAATCACCTTGGCCACTGAGATCAATTGAGCAACCTGATCAGTTTTGCCTAGATTAATTCAGCACAAAACATGCACAGAAGAGAGGATGAAAAGGAAAGAAATAGTTGAGTATCAACTTGCTAAATTGTTTGTTTCAGTCCGCAGTATAACAATGAGCATAGTGTAAGTCATCAACCCAGTAGTACATGTTCATCTTCTATGCTGAGTGGTAGTGCGCTGGCTGACAGACTGACGAAATCAGTGTAGAACGTCACACAGAATTGCATCGGTCCAATTCGCCACAGTTCACAGCAGCATGCAACGAACAAGTGGGTAGGAAAAGAGTCATGTCAAAGTAGACAAAGGTGAATGAGAGGAGAGACAATTTGAAGGTGAAGTCTAGTGGAGAGTATTAGAGATGACAAGACGTGAGATAGTGAATACATCTGCACCGTTGTGATTGACTTGGAGTCATGTCATCAAGAGGATCGAAGCATTGACTCCTTTTACCTCGACGACCCCAGTCAGACAGTCCACATCTAGCTGTACGGTTCAGATCAGCAGTCGGAGGCTTCATCGACTGGTGTCACGTCATGGTCTGACCACCAACACAAGCCTTCTTCAGCTAACATTGCACGCTGAGGTAGGCGGTGGCCCGTTATCCACAACACACACTCAAGCCACCTCAGTCGGTGAGCTTCACAACTTGATCCACTGACTCGCCTTCAATGCTGAGTACCGTTCACCTGACCTGACCACTGCTTACAGGGTGATTCGGTCAAAAGCCAGCAATGCTTCGAAGACACCTGTGGCCAAAATCCTATGACGTCTTCATATCTATCACTTCGAGGGGTCATGTCTCACAAGCGTATAATAGGACAGAGCGGAACACAGACCACTACACTCCTCCTTCAATAGACGATCGACTAGCTCACTGGCGCCAGAGAGGATGTGACTTGGTGAATGCTGAACGCGCATTTCTGACACGACCTGAGATTTCCTCAACTGCAGACACATTCTCGCTGATACAACATAACAAGTGAAGTGGTCAATGCATTCACCCACTTCATTCTCTAGCCTGATATCCTTTGTCAAGTGTTGATTGTGCTCACCTGCAAAAGGCTCAGCGTTGATGACAGAAAGTCACAGGATAATCCAGTTTCCACAGTTCACCTTCTCGTCGAATGGAAAGGCAGAACTATGGTATCTAGAGAAGTCACTATTCAGTCTGCCAGGACTTCTGTCAGGTAACCGGAGGTGTGCACTGACCATAGAAATAAGGCGTGCTTAGTTGACATGGTCTTTGACAGCACACAGCAAATCTACAACTCTAAGCATACATTATACATATTTACCAAAGTACTGAAAAGCATTCGAGTTGTTGGAACGTTGAGAATATCTTCGGTAGGAACAGGCTGAATCACCTTGGCCACTGAGATCAATTGAGCAACCTGATCAGTTTTGCCTAGATTAATTCAGCACAAAACATGCACAGAAGAGAGGATGAAAAGGAAAGAAATAGTTGAGTATCAACTTGCTAAATTGTTTGTTTCAGTCCGCAGTATAACAATGAGCATAGTGTAAGTCATCAACCCAGTAGTACATGTTCATCTTCTATGCTGAGTGGTAGTGCGCTGGCTGACAGACTGACGAAATCAGTGTAGAACGTCACACAGAATTGCATCGGTCCAATTCGCCACAGTTCACAGCAGCATGCAACGAACAAGTGGGTAGGAAAAGAGTCATGTCAAAGTAGACAAAGGTGAATGAGAGGAGAGACAATTTGAAGGTGAAGTCTAGTGGAGAGTATTAGAGATGACAAGACGTGAGATAGTGAATACATCTGCACCGTTGTGATTGACTTGGAGTCATGTCATCAAGAGGATCGAAGCATTGACTCCTTTTACCTCGACGACCCCAGTCAGACAGTCCACATCTAGCTGTACGGTTCAGATCAGCAGTCGGAGGCTTCATCGACTGGTGTCACGTCATGGTCTGACCACCAACACAAGCCTTCTTCAGCTAACATTGCACGCTGAGGTAGGCGGTGGCCCGTTATCCACAACACACACTCAAGCCACCTCAGTCGGTGAGCTTCACAACTTGATCCACTGACTCGCCTTCAATGCTGAGTACCGTTCACCTGACCTGACCACTGCTTACAGGGTGATTCGGTCAAAAGCCAGCAATGCTTCGAAGACACCTGTGGCCAAAATCCTATGACGTCTTCATATCTATCACTTCGAGGGGTCATGTCTCACAAGCGTATAATAGGACAGAGCGGAACACAGACCACTACACTCCTCCTTCAATAGACGATCGACTAGCTCACTGGCGCCAGAGAGGATGTGACTTGGTGAATGCTGAACGCGCATTTCTGACACGACCTGAGATTTCCTCAACTGCAGACACATTCTCGCTGATACAACATAACAAGTGAAGTGGTCAATGCATTCACCCACTTCATTCTCTAGCCTGATATCCTTTGTCAAGTGTTGATTGTGCTCACCTGCAAAAGGCTCAGCGTTGATGACAGAAAGTCACAGGATAATCCAGTTTCCGCAGTTCACCTTCTCGTCGAATGGAAAGGCAGAACTATGGTATCTAGAGAAGTCACTATTCAGTCTGCCAGGACTTCTGTCAGGTAACCGGAGGTGTGCACTGACCATAGAAATAAGGCGTGCTTAGTTGACATGGTCTTTGACAGCACACAGCAAATCTACAACTCTAAGCATACATTATACATATTTACCAAAGTACTGAAAAGCATTCGAGTTGTTGGAACGTTGAGAATATCTTAGGTAGGAACAGGCTGAATCACCTTGGCCACTGAGATCAATTGAGCAACCTGATCAGTTTTGCCTAGATTAATTCAGCACAAAACATGCACAGAAGAGAGGATGAAAAGGAAAGAAATAGTTGAGTATCAACTTGCTAAATTGTTTGTTTCAGTCCGCAGTATAACAATGAGCATAGTGTAAGTCATCAACCCAGTAGTACATGTTCATCTTCTATGCTGAGTGGTAGTGCGCTGGCTGACAGACTGACGAAATCAGTGTAGAACGTCACACAGAATTGCATCGGTCCAATTCGCCACAGTTCACAGCAGCATGCAACGAACAAGTGGGTAGGAAAAGAGTCATGTCAAAGTAGACAAAGGTGAATGAGAGGAGAGACAATTTGAAGGTGAAGTCTAGTGGAGAGTATTAGAGATGACAAGACGTGAGATAGTGAATACATCTGCACCGTTGTGATTGACTTGGAGTCATGTCATCAAGAGGATCGAAGCATTGACTCCTTTTACCTCGACGACCCCAGTCAGACAGTCCACATCTAGCTGTACGGTTCAGATCAGCAGTCGGAGGCTTCATCGACTGGTGTCACGTCATGGTCTGACCACCAACACAAGCCTTCTTCAGCTAACATTGCACGCTGAGGTAGGCGGTGGCCCGTTATCCACAACACACACTCAAGCCACCTCAGTCGGTGAGCTTCACAACTTGATCCACTGACTCGCCTTCAATGCTGAGTACCGTTCACCTGACCTGACCACTGCTTACAGGGTGATTCGGTCAAAAGCCAGCAATGCTTCGAAGACACCTGTGGCCAAAATCCTATGACGTCTTCATATCTATCACTTCGAGGGGTCATGTCTCACAAGCGTATAATAGGACAGAGCGGAACACAGACCACTACACTCCTCCTTCAATAGACGATCGACTAGCTCACTGGCGCCAGAGAGGATGTGACTTGGTGAATGCTGAACGCGCATTTCTGACACGACCTGAGATTTCCTCAACTGCAGACACATTCTCGCTGATACAACATAACAAGTGAAGTGGTCAATGCATTCACCCACTTCATTCTCTAGCCTGATATCCTTTGTCAAGTGTTGATTGTGCTCACCTGCAAAAGGCTCAGCGTTGATGACAGAAAGTCACAGGATAATCCAGTTTCCACAGTTCACCTTCTCGTCGAATGGAAAGGCAGAACTATGGTATCTAGAGAAGTCACTATTCAGTCTGCCAGGACTTCTGTCAGGTAACCGGAGGTGTGCACTGACCATAGAAATAAGGCGTGCTTAGTTGACATGGTCTTTGACAGCACACAGCAAATCTACAACTCTAAGCATACATTATACATATTTACCAAAGTACTGAAAAGCATTCGAGTTGTTGGAACGTTGAGAATATCTTAGGTAGGAACAGGCTGAATCACCTTGGCCACTGAGATCAATTGAGCAACCTGATCAGTTTTGCCTAGATTAATTCAGCACAAAACATGCACAGAAGAGAGGATGAAAAGGAAAGAAATAGTTGAGTATCAACTTGCTAAATTGTTTGTTTCAGTCCGCAGTATAACAATGAGCATAGTGTAAGTCATCAACCCAGTAGTACATGTTCATCTTCTATGCTGAGTGGTAGTGCGCTGGCTGACAGACTGACGAAATCAGTGTAGAACGTCACACAGAATTGCATCGGTCCAATTCGCCACAGTTCACAGCAGCATGCAACGAACAAGTGGGTAGGAAAAGAGTCATGTCAAAGTAGACAAAGGTGAATGAGAGGAGAGACAATTTGAAGGTGAAGTCTAGTGGAGAGTATTAGAGATGACAAGACGTGAGATAGTGAATACATCTGCACCGTTGTGATTGACTTGGAGTCATGTCATCAAGAGGATCGAAGCATTGACTCCTTTTACCTCGACGACCCCAGTCAGACAGTCCACATCTAGCTGTACGGTTCAGATCAGCAGTCGGAGGCTTCATCGACTGGTGTCACGTCATGGTCTGACCACCAACACAAGCCTTCTTCAGCTAACATTGCACGCTGAGGTAGGCGGTGGCCCGTTATCCACAACACACACTCAAGCCACCTCAGTCGGTGAGCTTCACAACTTGATCCACTGACTCGGTTTTAATGTTGATTAGTCAATGTTTTTTTAGTGAAGAGGAAGATATGTACTTTGGTTGTGTATCTATTTGTCTGTAGTGAGCTGAAGGGCGTGTTGGATGAAAATTTTTTTGTGGTGTGTTAATTGATAAATTGTTTATAGTTAATTAAATATGCGAAGGAATTTTCACGTTTTAGTTGCAGAAAGTTTCGAAAAAACGTGTGTTGTTGCTTGGGATGCTGTTTCCTTGTATGAGGACACGAATGTTTCAGTATAGGTAATATTTGCCATGATTCTGATGTTGTGAATTTCAGAGTTGAATTTTGTTTAGTGTAACGAGACTGGATTAGGAGCAGTCGAAACACAGAAGAGTCAAGCTTTGGTTTGTTAACGGATTAACTTTTCAGTTGGGTTGGCTAGGGTCTTTGCTACAAACGCCTAGCTACCATTTGTCCCAAGGCACAATATCAAATGAAGTAGGGTTACGTTGGGAAGGAATAAAGGTCACCTGCAAGAACCTAGCATGTGTTTATGACTATTGTTCTTAGCTGTGTAGGGAAATTCATACCGAGAGTCAGCATGAGCGTTGCAGACTAGATGATATGGTTTAGAATCAAGGTGGTGCAAATAAATTCATACCCTATATTGATCCTTTTGCCTTATTATTATTCTTTGCATGATCTTCTACAGTTTGCGATTACTTTACTTCCACTTCCCAGTACCAACTTGAGTCTTAGTAAAGAAAAGCCAAAGCCCATGTTAGTACCGATTGCATTTTTTTGTTTAAAGAAAATTTTTAGAGGATTACTACAAGAGATAAATTTTATTGGTATAGTATTCTCTGGAACGAACTTTGACTGGAAGTATTTTGTTGCTGAACAATCGGGTGTTGTTTCAGTGACCCTAGTAAATACTTCTGGTGTAAAATTCAGTCATATCGTCCTATAAATAGATTTAGACACTTCACATTTGATTACTACGAGGAACACTGTTACAGAATGTCGACAAGAAAGTAGTAGAGAACTTATTTTTGAACAAACAAACACCAAGCTGAACCCCGACTCACCTGACATTCGATACGATAGTCGGTTGTACAACTATTGAAAAACGCCACTGCATATTCCGGGGTACTAAGACAATTCATCTAGCTATTTCATTGGTTGATAAACATGATATTTACTACAACGGTGCAGTCAAAAGGGTACAGATACGATAATAGGCAAATCTGTGGGTTATGGCTCCTAAAATCCAGAAAATTTGCAAAAGCCATAAATGTTTTGAATGAAGCCAACCCTTTGCTGTGGAAATGAAAAAACGTTTGGAAGCCAAGATGCAGCATAGTATTCGATTTGTGTACAGAGTATAAATAAAAAAATAGTTATTCAACAGTACATACGAAGTAATCAGATAAATTAAACTGTTCTTATGCCTCAGTTGCTCGGAAGTGATCGTCATCCACAGTTGAATACACATGACCTTCAGCACTTAGGAAATCCAAATCTTCTCTAAGAAACAAATAGGAAAATTTTTGGTCATTTTATTAGCATATTTGTGTTGATAAAGATAAAAGTATAAAGCCTACGGTGCACTTTTCTGAACACAGCTTCTCTCAAGCTATCTGAGTCGTCAGCATCGTTCGTGGGGCTCACATAGCCTATATTGTAACCGAGAGGAATTATGCGCGTGGGTATATTGATGCTGGGACTCAATAGACACTTCAACCGAATACTGTTACGACTGACCTTCCTCAGTTCCCTCTGCTTCACTGAGCCGCGGAGATGTCAGAATACAAAAGACTGGCCTGTGATTGTAAGAACAACAACTTTACTAGACAAATACACCGTATGTATATACAAAACCTTCAGAAAATTAGGCCATAAATAAACCAATCAGAGTGGTTACGTGACGTCAAATTTTTCCAGTCAGGTTGCCATGTCAGTACATGCATGAATCATGATCTGAAAACAATTTCTTTATTGGCTGCTTTTTTGCCGTTGTCAGTCTGAGTTGAATAAATTAGCAGGTTGTTCTTTCGGTCGGCTAACATTCCTATTTACAAGCCATACTAATTATTGTTATTATTACTAGGCTTTTAATTTCACTGTACCAGTGATTTCCCCAACTTAAATCAGAAGGCAGAGATTGATGACAGTCTGGCGTAAATATTCAAGTATAAGGTCATATCTACGGGCATCTATTAGACAGTTACCACTTACAGTCAACTATCTGAAATTCTAATGAACATAATGTATCAAGATCCATTTGTGAACAAAATAAATAAGAACTGCACAATTGTAGGTGATTGGGTGAATTTGTGGTTGATACATGTGTTTACTAGACGCAAAGCAACAGAAATAGGAAGTATTACTTAAACAGTTTTGTCATTTTGAAACTAGTGAGTTTATTGCAGATTTCTGTGGACAACACCAAGGTGCCGTTAGATATAATTTCCGTCATTACATTTCAAGGTGTTTGTAGATAGCTGGCGGGGATATTTTCTTTTCCAGAATGATTGAGAGACTTTGTACTTTGAACGAAATCAAGTCATTCAGATTTCAGACGTACCCCGCTTCTCAGCCTTTCAAACAGAAATAAAGTGATTTACAGCATAGATTGACTTGATACTTAGAATATTAAGCTCACCATAAATGAATTAAGTACATTCTTAGATCCGAAAAGGTGATAAACCTTTATTTCAATTGATACATATGTGACAAAAATGGTCTCTGTATGATTCTTAATCATGAACAATAAATATCTAGACTTCAAACGTTCTGTTAACACTTGTTTTCTCAAAAACTAGGTATATTTGTTCAACAGAACCTGTGATTAAAGCCTGTAGCAGACAACCGTCCACATGTTCACTATTACATGATGGTGATGGATTAGAAAACTGCACAAGCCAACCAACTAGTACGAGAGAGAAAGTCATAAATAAAACTAGGGGAAATCCAACGATAAGGTAACGTTCGAATCCGGGATTCAGAGACGAGGATATCAGGAAGACATGGCACACCTAGGAGACCTATAAAAGAAATCGTTGCACACAGATACACATAAGAGTAAATGGTAATTCGAAACTAACTCGAGTTTACACATATTAATAAGAAACTTACTTTGTTTGGTGACGGTACTTCGTCAGAAAGCTAAGTTTGGTTTAGTAAGGACTAGCGTACAAATATACGGTTCAAGGAAAAACAGAAGCTTAGTATCACAGCTTAATGGCATAAAAAAGAATAAATTTATTGTAACACTATACAATATCTAATATTAAGAAACACTGGGATAAGAAAGTAGAATATCCATTGACTGGATTCTAACACATACCTAATTTGTCGTTCAGGAATCCCACGCAATTTTTCTGACAACTGTGAAACAGGAATCCCACGTTCACCAACGAATGTTCTAACTATGGCTAGTATCTGATTTTGTAAGACAGTAAGACCATTACTGATGGAACTAGTGACGTTGTGTGAACCACTTTCTCCATAAATACTTTTGGTGTTAGTGCCGTCATTCTCATCCTGTTTCATTTTCATATACAAAATCCGCGTATAAATCACTTCCATAATATGAACAGTAAGTTCATTCATGTCCAACACAGGAATAACCTTAAAATTAAAATAAAGACTGTTAGGGCTTATAAAAATAAGAACAGTAACAAGGTAGTCAGACAAAATTATTTTCTAAAAACGTACAGCCACTAGAAAATAAGACAGTAGGCCTTTTTATTCCGATTATTACCCATGTGGTTTAAATGTACAACATATGATTAATTTCCAAGCTACAACCACCACATTAAATGTTGTACTTCGCAAATCACAACGCACTCAGCATTCTTGTATATATTCCTGCAGTAGGCGATGAGCCACACCTGTGTCAGGGATAATGATGCTACTACCTGACTGCGCAAACCTCAGCAGATATATCAGTGATCGAACTCGTGATTGGCAATCACCTCCCTAAACCAAAGAGTTACAATACACCACCAACGTATTCTCAATATAAAATGAACCCAATCGATAGCTGCTGCGTTGATGTCAGGCTAGCGTATTACAATGACTGAATGGACTCTGATAGTGGGAATAATTGTTCCTCAAAGTCCCATGATACAAGAAAGATTTGCTGGATAGGGTGAGGATAAAGGTAGTTGTTAACATTGAGTATGTGGATTTTACTGAGGTGGCAGTCCCAGAGAGTAGTCACACTGCTTAGTGGGTGCGATATCACAGCAGTACGATGATGGCCGTGCGTGAACAGAAATATATGCTACCTTACTTAAACATAAGGAAGGGATAAAAAACTCAAACCCTACCCGTAATACTCTGCACCTGACTTCTGCGTTACTCATTCGGTGAAACCACTACACACGGTCAGTGCTAATAAGGCAATGGTGGTCAAACACCTAAAGCCTTCTCACATCCTATACCATCAATGGCCATGTTTCATATCCATACAGTGGAACGGAGGAAACTATAGCACAGTACATTTAACCCGTAATCGACAGCCAAATACCATGACAGCGCCACAGATGGCGTAGGTTGACGAGAGTCAATCGAGTCTTTTGTATTCATGCAAAGATTTCGTCTGCCACTCACCTACCAGGGTTGATCCGACTTCCCAGGCAAGTGAAGTGTTCAACGCACTCAAGAACCTCATCCTCTATTATTACCCGGGGCACCATTGGGGACCAGTGGTGAAGCAGCAATTTGCATTTGGGCTGCGAGAAACGCATCCCAAATATTCTCAAATTGTCACTCAAGGTGTCCGGAAGACTGTATCTTGTCAGCGTTTCCACCTGACAGAACTGTTGTCTACGTACTCCAGGTCTACCAAGGAGTGCCCATGATTACGTCAATTCCTGTGATACAAGATGACGAGAGAGAGACCTCCATAAGAACGTCTATGACAAAAACTGAACAGGAATGAAGAGGGAAGGGATCCTTGATAGACACCACTCGACGTACACAGTTCATCTGATAACTCACCAAAGGCTCCAACATGGTCATGAATGTTCGAGTAAATAGCCCTTAACAGAGTGATGTACTTATTCGGTACTCCTTTCAGTGAAAGAGACTGCCATAAAGCCTCTTGATTGACAGAGTCGAATGCGGCCCTCAAATTGAGAAATACAGCCACTGTCGTGCATTGGCAAGCGTGCCCGTGTTACAGAACCTGGCGAAGTGTGAATATCTGGTCGATACATCCACCGCCAGGTTTGAAATTTGTCTACATTTCTCGGATTTGATGTTACTGAGTTCCACTCAGATGCCTAACGACTGTAGAAATTGGTGTCTTGGACGTTATGCTCGTCAGGCTGATTCCTCTGTAGTTCCCACAAGAGGACTTCTCACCTTTCCTGGAGACTGGGACAATCAGTGATTGAGGCCAGTCAGAGGGGATCATATCTGACTGTCGACTAAGTTTTCGACCACAGTGCTTGAACAACTCTGAAACTAGTCTATCTGGTCCTGCTGCTCTTACTCGTCTCAGGTTGGTTATTGCTTCCTCGCCTTCTGTAAGTGTTGGGAATTTTATCTTGATGTTCCATTCAGGCTACCGAAGTAAGGCCAAGTAGTCAATGCATTCAACCAGTTCACTCTTTATCATGGATCTGAGAGTATTTGTCGCAGATCCGTCCTGGAGCATTGTCTTACATCTGCAGGTGCGAAGGTCATGAGAAACATACTCCAGTTTCTGCTCAACGCGTTCAGAATACGTAGCATTTTTTCAGCGTCCTCACTTAGCTGGAATACAGCGTCTGCATACTTCACTTCAACTAGATGACCTCCAGAAAGTAGGTCAATCTCTGTGAAGTCTCAGGTACCTTAGCTTATGTCCACAAGTACTTCTATGATGAAGGTAAGTGGAAACGACGACACGATTTCGAGAAGACAGCTTTGATGAGTGTTGTATACTTGCTCGGTATTGCTTTCTAGTTAGACGCTGCCACAACACCTCAAGGTCGAAGAAGTCGAATGCCGCCTTCAGGTCAAGATATACAGCATGTGTCGCACCGGTTAACATGTCTCAACACTGCTAACATAGTGGTACCACTATACGTGAACAATATTACGAAAACACCCAAAGCTTTAAACCTGAAGTCTCCATATTTTTTGCTCTTAACAGTCACGTAGCATAGCTGTAAAGCACGACAGAAACGTTTGCAGTGCAGAATATGGGTATAGGTAGTCGGATGAATCGCCAACCTCAGGAATGACGAAAGTTGACAAATTCCAAACGAGCCTTCTATATCCGAGCTGGTGATCCCTGTACATGCGACCAATCTTATGAAGACGAGTGTTGCAAAACCTATTATCTGCCTTATCCAAATAGTTCGGTAAATCTGTAGAATTCATTCTTCGAGGTTATGGGACTGAATGACTGATTTTGGAAGTCTCGCAGATGCGGGTATCGCTTTAAGTATTAAGACAAAAAGTGTATTGTTCGTCTGAATCACACTTGAGTCATTCGTGTGCTGACTGAACTGTGCAGTTAAGACTAAACAGAATAATACAGCACACCATCGCTTGTTTGTAATCTCTACCACTGAATGTTGTTCGGAGTACGTGAAAAATAAGTTTCACCAAAAAGTGCCTAACCTTTCACTGAAAACCGAACGTTCAGATGTGGTTGTCATGGTAAGTGATTTTAATGAATAAGGGCGTAGGTGAACCAATGCAGAAAGGCATTTTCGGAATAACAGTTAAACAAAAGGATATTAACAACCACCTGCTGTAACGATACTCAGACAGCCACGTATTTCCGGCCATCACGAATATCAGACGGAGATACTGTTTGATGTTGTGTCCACTGATTTAAACTCAACGATGGATAAAGACAGGGGTCGTCGAAGATGGCTGCTTGTTCTACCGCATGTGTTTGAACAATGATTACACACTCGCGACGATAGCTGCTACCTTGATGTGGTAGTCGAGCTTGCATATCACAATGATCCAACGAGCTACCTTGGTGGAATCCTTATTGCCTCGAGATCAGAATGGTCTGTTTGTGTTGTGATGCCCCAGTTTTGTATAAAACATTGCTATCGATCTGAACCTTTTTAACGTGTCATTCCCATCCCATTTTTACGGTATGACTAGTAGTCTATTTTCTGTCCCCATTGTAATGTAAATCGCTAATTGGTTAATCTTTACTCTTACTATGCAAATGCCTCAAATTGAGGACAAGGTCATTTTTCATGTGTATACTTATTCACGTGTTTTGGATTGAATTATTATTATACTCTCGGAGTAATAAACTCTCCCATCTGCCAGCTTCGATCTTCTCTCTATTCGTCCCGGGGTTGCGTACTACGTTAACTGTCAGCTAAGAGCGCGTATTATATTCGTTTCCGAATATATATAACTATTAGCGTTCGAAAACACAACAGTTTGATAGAGGTTAGATAAAAAGCAGTTACCATTATAGTGTAAACTCCAATGTTATGAGGGTTTAAGGGCGAAGTCGTACTGCTGGCTGGACAGGAGTGTGACGATAGTAAGGTGTCTCCCTTGGAAGAACAGTGCGACGCCAATATTACCTTTTTCTATAGAAAGGCGGGAGGAGTTAGGAAAGTTTGATACCCAAAATAGCACACATCCACTACCGTGAGGAATGCGGATGCCGGCGTTGAGTTTATTATCGGATCTGAAAGCATTATACCAAAGCGGTCTCAAACAGACGTCCCTTGGGCTCTTGTATCACAAAGAAACCCCTTCTTTTCAGGTACCTGAAAATCCAACCTTCTATGGTGTGGGCAGCCTGAAAGTGTTAACGTCCACCACAACTCTGCCAGCACTCAAGTTCCCTCAGACTTTTGTCCATCCTCCATATCTCTAACTAATCTTTCTTCACGTTTCTCGATCAGTAATCTTACATCATATTTAATTTCTTCCAGCTCTGTAGCTCTCGACAACCCTGTGAGATCACTAAACAGCATCCTCGACCTCCCGAAACAGCACTTCGAATTATACATTGGAGCCTTAAATGTCCACACTCTCGGTCAAAATTGGCCAAAAAGCTTCACTCATCATAATCATCATTATCAACATAGGACCAGGCATTACTGCGTAACGGTCCGAGTTGCCACACCTCATATCAGCACATCAAGTAAAAAGGTAGTGAGGTGAAGGATGAAGATAAGTGAATGCAGTCAAAAGAAATATAAAGTATGAGAAGAAAGGAAAGAGGAGTGACAAAATAGTGAGATTCGGTATAGCGTTGTTAAGATGAGGATAATGTGTGTATACATCTGCGCCACTGACTTCGGTTCTGAGCCATATCACCTAGGGTCTCCAACCACTGGTTCCTCTTGTCCCGTGGACCCCAACCACCTAGTCTGCATCGTCCTACATGGCTTAAACCAACAGTCAGAGACTTCATACATTGGTGCCATGTTTTAGTCTGGCCACCTCGGGCCTTTTTCCAGCCTGAACCCACCTCAGCCAACATTGTGTGACGAGGCAATCGGTGACTAGGCATACGTAGTACGTGTCCCAACCATCTCAGTCGATGAAGGTTCACAACCTCGTCGACTGACTTACCTCTTCTCCCTAAAACTCTACACCTAACTTCTGCATTACTCACATGGTGACACCACGGAATACGT